GAAAGGTGACTGGAAAGGAAAAACTCAATGCATCATGGGAATCCCCCGGCAGCCTACATCTATTGCAGCATAACTAAGGGAGGATTCAGGGTCACCTGGTTGGATTAACTGAAGGCTTTTCAGTGAGACAGGATATTTCTAACTTTAGACATGTATGAGGTATACAAGTAAAACACAGAGGTGGTAGTGTGATCTTTCTTTTCTTTTCTTTTCTTTTCTGTCATTATTCACATTGTAATCGGAGTGGTTATTCTGCTGGAGCTGACCGAGGGTGAGCTATGTTGGCAAAAGATAGGGGAAGTAATAATAAAATAAAAAAAGAAGAAGAAAAGGAATCGAATGAGAGAGAGAAAAGGGAGGGCTGATAACCCGATATTAGGTTTAGAGGGCTCTTTTGCAGATAACCTTAGATAAACTTTTTCATTTAATAAAGGAAGTCATAATTTAATAACTGCATTTTATATTTACTCGGGTCACCTTTGTCTAAATAAAACTGTCCAATCGTAAGTGCTGACCATTGCTGTCTATGTGTATGTGTCTCTGCAGATGGGAAGCTGAAAACCTGGGTGTATGGAGTAGCAGCAGGAGCATTTGTGCTGCTTGTCTTTATAATCTCCATGACATACTTAGCATGGTAAAGTAACACATCTGAAATATGTTCTGACTTCATCATCAATTTGATTTTTTTCCCCTCATGATGTCAATAATGTACATTAAGTGATGTGATGGAGATCACCATGAAAGAAAGTCAAATTAAAATGTAGTTCACTAATTAGCAATTAGTGATTTTGTACTGTGTCTCATAAAGTTTCCTAAAAAATCAAAGTGGGACGAGTCACGGAGTCAAATCTGTAGCAGGGGAGCATTTTCAGTGTACTGTGAGTGTGCACTGTCGTGATGAAGCACCCATCTGCTGTTGCAGATTGGATGTTGCAAAAGAATCTTAACATCCTGCAACAATCTTACAACTTTTTTGATTATTTTTGATGTTGGGAATTTCACATATTGGCCAGCTTGGCCCCATAAGGACGAGTCAGTAAGGATTTTTTTTTTTTAAATAATGGCTCTGACATCATGTTCACTGATCAGATAGTAATTTGTTTTTAACAACCAATTGCTATCTGATCACTAAGCCATACTAAGAGTGAGAGTCCGATCTATTGGTAAATGGTAAATGGCCTGTATTTGTAGAGCACTTTACTCAGTCCCTATGGACCCCAAAGCGCTTGACACTACATCCACACACTGGTGACAACAAGCTACATTGTAGCCACAGCTGCCCTGGGGCGCACTGACAGAGGCGAGTCACCTATTAAATCAACGACGCTTCAACAGACTTCTTAGATTTCGGTTTTCATGTAGAATAAAGTGTAACGCCTGTCTTCCATCTTGCATTGTCTATTTAAAGGCCATATTATGAAAAAAAAAGCATCGTCCAATAAAATGACATGGGATCTGACCTCCATCACAACACTGCTCACAATTATTTCTTCATTTGTTTTTGTTTTTCATTTTTCTGTTTCCCTTATCATTTGTTCCTTCTTGTCTTGTCTTGTCCCTTTTTTTCTTTCTACCCTCTCACACTCTATTTAGTTGTTGTGGTTGTTGCCTTTGCTGCAAGTCAAGCTCCAAGTCCCCCTCAGACAGGATTTATTGGATGGAGCAAAACAGCTGCACTTATACCTGTCCTGCCTGCCAGAAACTAGAGCAAGAGGAGTTAAAGTGGTGCAACAAACAGCAACCGCAGCTGCAGGAAAAGCAACAGCAATATGAGGCGCAGCTCTCAAAGCCTCCATCATCACAACAACATCCAGAGCTACAGCACTCACTGCCACACCCAGCTCCCTTTGAAACTCTTATCACGTAGTCAAGGCCTTACTTAACTCCTTTTATTCTCTACGTGACATGTTCCCAAACATCCAGATTGCTTGTTCAGTCATGTCAGTGGATCACCTACTAGAGGTGAGAAAACCAAAAAGCTGCTGATTTGACAGCAAAAAGTTGAAAAGTTGAATCATATTTGTTCAAGTTTATTAGTTGAACTAAGTCTTGGTTAAACAATTTCAATTCAGTTCACTTCAGTTTTATTAATATAGCAACAATTCAAAACAACACTCGCCTCGAGGTGCTTTATATTGCAAGGTAAAGACACCAACAACCAGACCATTTGGTATGAGCATGCACTCGACCACAGTGGGAAGGAAAAACTCCCTTTCAATATGAAGAAACCTCTGGAAATGTAGAATTTGAACTTCTCTCATGTTGCAGAGCAAATGCAATATCACAGTTTTTGCACATTTTAATGTTTATTTTAAGTTAATATTACCAAGACTGTAACCAAAGTTTAGAAAATAGTGATGTGATAATTTATCAATGTGTAGCAATAACTCTGAAGCCAATTTTGAAAACTATGAAGGACTTTATTTTGTACAGCTCTCCTCTTTAGCAACAGGGTCTAAATGAGGAGGGACAGCTGAAGACTGATGGATATACTTCCAAAGACAGTGGTGTTGTTTTTAAGGCAGACGTGACAGAAACACAGAATCATGTCTCGTATGTAATAGGTTGGTCATGAGTGGAAGCCACTGTCCGATTGTCTTACTGTTCCTCACCTGTTCTTTGTTTGTTCTGTAGCAAAAAGCCAAAGAAGCCACAGAGACGCCAGATGAACAACAGACTGAAGCCTTTGACTCTGGCTTACGATGGAGATGCAGACATGTAGAAGTCTTCCTGCTCAACGTACAAACATTTGTCCTCCTTCAGAACTTACGGCATCGCCGTGGAAACCCTTTGATATCAGCGCCAATGCTGAGACTCGTTCACATGCAAAAGAAGAACCTCAAAGATCAAGACTGACCACGTTCATTAGCAGCCTAGTTTTCCCCGTCTGTTTTTAAATGTTCATTTTGGCATTTTTTTCACAAGAGCCTTCATGGATTCTTTGTTTCCTGCTGAAAGTCCTCCTTTGCTTCTTTGCCATCTACCACTGCCCAAAATATTCAAACAACAGTCACTGAATAGTGTCTCCGCAGAACAAATACTTCTGTGAAAATCATTCCCTCGTTTTTTTCACTGCTCGGTGACATTGCCTTGATATCACTCGTTCTGTGTCAAATGAACATTCGGAGGCCTGAGTGTCATTATGGCTTCGGTGCATCTCACAGGAAACAACATGACGAGGAGACAAAAAGGAGCTTAATAAATCCCAGAGACAGCATCACTTCTGCCTGCCTGTCCCTTCTCCATTTTTCAGGGATAATTTTGCACTATATTAGTGCAGCATGATATGTACTTAGGTCTAGGTATGCCTGTCTCAATACAGATGTTGTAGAAATGTACAGAAGAAGGCTTTTTTGCAAACGAAAACTCACCAATGTTTGTAATTATTTTTCTTCTATTGCCTCTTTTTACATGATTTGATGGGACTTTGTGTAAATAGGATTTTTTTTAATGTGGTCTCAACTTTATCTTTCTATCATGTCTAGCTAAATGTTCCAAACTCTGCCAGTTAATCTCTGACATTTTTTTTTTACTAATTGTAACAACCGTTTTAATTTCAATTTAATTTATATAGTGCCAAATCACAACATCGAGGCACTTTATATTATAAGATAAAGACCCTACAATCAAACCAACCCCCTTTGAACAAGCACTTGTTGACAGTGGGAAGGAAAAACTCCCTTTTAACAGGAAGAAACCTCTGACAGAACAGGCTCAGGGAGGGGCGGCCAAATTTCAGAACCAGTTGGGGGTTGTGTGATTTTATCTTTGTAAATACGTAACATACATCAAAATCTTCTGTGGAAAATTCAAACATCATGAAAGCCTTTAGATTATTACATGGAAAGAACAAAGAAAAAGTCTAAAAAAACTAAACATGGAAGATAAGTTCATCATCAAATTGTTTCTTTCATCCCCAAGAACTCTCAGTTAAGTCCATCTAAGAAATATTATATTTAACACCAAATTTTTGACTTTAGCGCTGTTTGTTTGTTTTTTTAATTCATTATTGAAATTAATGGCTTTACCAGTGGCTACTAAGTTTGGACCACTTGTTATTTACTTACGATCAGCTACGAGTGTACATCTTTAAGCTTGGTTCTGCACCAGTTATGTGGTGAATTTGGGAATCTCTCAGCCTGGCTTCTTTCTGATATGTCAGCCCGTTCTCACTCCCGAGGCGTAACATGCCGACATTTTGTCACGTCCCGCGGCGTTCCTGAGGAACACGAAAGGAGACCTTCAGCGTTGTTATGGTACGCGGCGGGTTATGGGCGAAATCCAGTGCAATGACGCTCCCGCGGTAATAGACGTTCCAGCCCTGTATTCCAGCCCTAAACCTAACCTTATCCCTAGCCCTAACCATAACCTTTTTCCTGACCTTAACCAGGACTTTAATGATGTTAAATAGCGTGTTTCTAAGCGATTTGAAGAAAAAGAGCGAACATGTGTAGATTGAGTCCATACGGTTCTCAGATTTCCTCATTTTTCCGAGGTCGTCATTTAGGAACGTGGTGGGTAGCCGAAAACGTAATATGTTGACGATTTGTCACCTAGCCTAAAATGTGACGCTTTGGGAGTGAGAACGTGTTGGATATGTAGCTTAAAAATATTATTTATCCTCAAAAATAATTTATTGGAATTTTCTGTGGTTCTTCCCTTAAAGTCTTCTGTATACCTTTGATTTTTGACTCATTTTGAATTTGACCTCTGCCAGCCGATATTGCCTCTCCAGTGTAATGTTCGTTGTCCATCAGTTTATGGAGTCTTCAGCAACGTTGAAAACGAATTGGTCTTTCAGCCCTTGAACTTTCTGTATCAGAGGATGATGTCAGAACCTTTCCAGCTTTTCTATTGTTTTCAAAGACTTTAGGAAGAATAATTGTGTAGGAATGTTTTAAAGTGAAAATGGCTGAAGTAAGCTGAAGGTCCACTCAGAACGGATAGTGTTGTATTTATTAGTACTGAGACATTGCCGGAAAATGGCAGTTTAATATTCTGTGGATTTGTTGGTAGTAAATCAGTGGAATGTTTAATTTATATTTCTTGGAAAATGATTTGTAAATAAAATTCTTTTTAAAAAAAAAAGAAAAGAAAAGAAACAAACTTGGAAGTGTGAATGTGGGCGCGCTAAACATGATAAGCTTGTGACAAATAAGTCAAGTTTTCCTACTGTTTGTTTGTATGTATTTGGGTAATTGCTGATAATAAACAATGGAAATATTATTCTAATTCTTTTAATAACATATTAAATCATGCAGATTGCAGTACAGGTGTTCACACAAGGTTCAAATAAGTTAGTCTTTGGTTTACGGCTTTACCTGACAGTAGGGATGGGTACCGGTATCCGGTTCTGACATAAACGGTAGTAACCAGACCAAAAAGCAGCGCACATTTCGGTGCTTT